GCAGCACGACTTTTGCTAGTTTGCATACTGTATTCAACCGTTAGATCCCTCGTTGAATCACATGTGAGTGTAAATCATGCTATATTAAAAACCCTCCCTTTGCCGATGTTAATATAAAAGCTGCAGTGCTGGAGATACTTTAAGCGACTATCGTTTCACGGACTTACTGAGCGAGTAGCTGGGGGCATTTCTGCAGAAATTTATACATACCAGTGCCGGGAACTATCACAGCTGCCTTTCTGTGGCATGCTGTATTCATAAAGTAATAATCCCTGCTCACTTGTGTTTGCATTTATTTTTTCTCATCTTCCATGTATGTTTTGATTTGGCTTCGATGGAACTGTATCCTGAGATGTCTGTCCCGTCTCAAGCTGAAAAGTTCCCGATGAGGCTCTGTTGGGGAATGTTTCCCTTCCGTCGAACTGAAAAGTCTGGGGTTGTGGGGTCCTGTGCAGCTCTCTCCCTCTGTTGTAATTTTGACCCACGGCAGCTGCTATGGGGGATGTCCAGTCACTCATTTTTGCTTTCGAGATGCGCCGGGTTTTAGTGGCGCATTTTCTTTCTTTTTTTTTGCGCGATTCTGAGACGCGTATGATTTCGATGTGTGCGAGCAGCTGCGGTTCTGCGGCATTTTGAAAGAGCTTGAAAAATCATCATTCCTAACGATGCTTTTGCTTATCAGCTCCACCCTCAGCGGTTTATCGAAGCGATTCTACACTCTCGCAATGAGCAAGCCAAAGGTCGGAATCAATGGGTAAGTTTACCGTGCGATTTTTATTTGAACTCACACAGTCACAGGTATCTTATTGCACTAGCCTGTTCGAGGATGCACTGCCTCACGTTGATAACAAGTGATAAGAGGAACTCTGCATGTAGAAGCGATGAAAGAAATAAGGGGAAGGGGGACAGGGGATTGTTTTCTGTTCGGATAAATTTTCTATTGATATTTTCATAAGTCGAAGAAGCTGTGTCGATTAGAGTTGTCCTCATCGCTCCGCACTCCTCCGTGCTACCAGCAATGCCCTCATCCTGCACCATTCTGAGTTCATCACATTCACGTAACCTCACGCATGCGTGCGAGTGGGTCCATTATCGTGTGTGTGCGCGTGCGTGCGTGCGTGTAGTGCACAGTTCTGCACGATGAATTTAGCTGCTACTTTACGAGGGCGTGTGCGGTATGCACTCCTCCTGCATAACTTGCTGCACTGATGCTTGCAAGGGGTCACTCTCTACTGTACAGCTAAATACACTAATTTTGCATGTCACGGCACACTTCGGCATTTGAGGAGGCTTTCGGAGACCTGCTGGAGTCTCATGCATCTTGTGCACTTGTAGATTCGGTCGCATTGGACGACTTGTCCTGAGGGCTGCAGTTGAAAAGAATACCGTGGAAGTTGTGGCCGTCAATGATCCGTTCATCAACATTGATTACATGGTTCGTTGACATTCACCCTCTCTTGCCTTGCGCATAAGATCCATTTATTTTGATCGGTACTGCTTGGCGAGAATGTAAGGAAGCTTTTTCTTCTGCTCTGGTTGTTACGAAGGGACAGTGAGTGTTTGCAGTTTCCAGTTTTTGTGGAACAGAGAGACAATTTTGGCTTTTTTGGGATCTGTTAGATTCGAGAGAAAAAAATCTCACTTCTTGGCTGCCATAGAACTCGTCTGCTCTACTCCTCCCCCTTCCCCTCTCTCCGTCTCTCCGCCCTCCTTTGATGATATTCGAAGAATCAAGATTTCCCACATTCACTGGGTTAGTAGATTATTGCAGATTTTAGTCAAGAACAGAACTTCTCCCACAACTCAGCCAGTTTTCAGGTATACATGTTCAAATATGATTCAACTCATGGCCGCTTCAAGGGTGATGTGTGTGCGGAAGGTGGCAAGCTTGTTGTTTCGTTTGGTGGTTCCACTCATCAAATCACTGTACACAACAGGTATCTGCTGTACACAACGGGTTGTTTGAGAGAGCAGCTAAATGCATGATGTCCGAACAGAACCGAGGAACAGATGTGTATTGGGGTGGGCCATTCCTCATCCGTGATATTTTGTTCTTGCAGCGGGCGAGTGTCTGTTCAGGACTAGTTGTTTCATGGTCCGGCTGTCAGCGCCGTAAGTTTTTCAATGAAAATCTTAACTTTTTCAGCAAGGACCCCGCCGAAATCCCGTGGGGAGCCGACGGCGCGGAATATGTGGTGGAATCCACAGGTGTTTTCACAACCATTGAGAAGGCCAATGCCCACATGAAAGGTGGCGCCAAGAAGGTGGTCATCTCGGCGCCATCCGCCGACGCGCCGATGTTTGTGATGGGTGTCAATGAAGATAAGTATGATAAGAATACCAACCACATCATCTCGAATGCCTCCTGCACTACCAACTGTCTGGCACCGCTCGCTAAGGTTTATCTTTTTTTTGTACGACACTAGCATGCATCGTACTTTGAGTATGGGTGAAGCTGGTTTCTCGTGGAATTAGCCTCAAACTGCTTCCAGGTGATCCATGACAAATTTGGCATCATTGAGGGACTGATGACCACTGTGCACGCGACAACCGCCACTCAGAAGACCGTCGACGGACCGTCCGGGAAAATGTGGCGAGATGGCCGTGGCGCTGGCCAGAACATCATTCCAGCCAGCACTGGCGCTGCTAAAGCTGTCGGGAAAGTAAGTTGTTTAAAAGACTCGGGATTTATTCAGTTGTTTTTTTTTTCTTTTTTTGCATGCGAACTTTCGTTTGAAGAAATGTAATGCAAATTTTTTGCCTTCAGGTCATTCCGGCTCTTAATGGGAAACTTACCGGTATGGCTTTCCGTGTGCCAACACCGGATGTCTCAGTGGTTGATCTCACTTGCCGTCTTGAGAAGGGCGCAAGCATGGATGAAATTAAAGCCGTTGTGAAAGCAGCTGCTGAGGGACCGATGAAAGGAATTCTTGGATACACCGAAGATCAGGTCAGTCTTCCGATAGTCCCTCATTTGATGAGTCACAATTTAGTTAAATGATAAAGGGGAATATTTAATAAAAAGCATGGCTATAAATTCTCGGATGTGTTTTGTAACACCTGGATCTTTGCCTGTCTGCGACCACTCAGCCCCGGCTTTAATTTGGACGAGATTTCCAAGAGTTTTCTGACAGGACGGTTTTCTAGGTTGTTTCAACGGACTTCACCGGCGATCCACGCTCGTCGATCTTCGATGCCTTGGCATGCATTTCACTGAATGCGAACTTCGTCAAGTTGATTTCGTGGTACGATAATGAGTACGGCTACAGCAACCGTGTCGTCGACCTCATCTCGTACATCGCGAGCAAGTGAACCACCGCTGCGCTCCCCGTTGCTATGCCACTTAGAAACTGCGAACACCAGAAGCTTGAGTATTATTGTGAATCGATTATCTGTAGTTCCGAAACTTTCTTGGGAGATACAGAAGGCGTACCAGCTCTCTCTCTCTCTCTGTGAGTGCGAGTATGCCTATGTCGCAGCATCGTATATTAATATTTTTAAGTGTTTTAGCACTTCTGGGTAGCTTTTGTCCCTTTGTAAGTTGTTAGTTTTGAATAAACTTTTTCACTGCAATGGAAATTCATTGTGTATGCGGCTTCGGGATGAAACACAAACAGACTTTGAACATGTTATGCTCGCGCACGTATCCTGTAAATTGCCATAATCTAATGTGCCAGGACAGATTTTTTCCAGCACAAGCCAAATATTCCACAATACCACTGCCTCCTCCCCCGCTTACATTTTAATGGACTATTTTCCAATTCTGACGTTTTTTATGTCTGTGTTGTCGCACAAGTGCAATTTGGAATTCTCGGTCGGCCCCCCAGAGTGTGCTCGAAAAAAAGCAGCTCCAAAGACAGCATTGTGCGACGTTGCACCAAATTCCAGAGTGACCAAGAGACGAGCGAAGGCACCGTCCAGATGGAAAAAGTTCATTTCGAAGTGATTTTCCAGTAGAACATTCACACTGTGTTGCGGTCAGTGCATGGGGAGTCTGTGTTATATTCGGAAGACTCAAAAATGGGCTTTCCAAGTAGCCTTCGTTCGACATAACTGGAACAACAAATGTGCGCAGAGCTGTGTTTTCTGATTAAGCTTGTGTGATTGCGAGTTAAGAATGGTCAGATCGGGCTTTCCTGTTCGCGGACCGTCTGGTGGTAAATGGGCGTCATGATCGCTGGTCCGCAAAAAAAAGTAAGCTCACGCAGAAATTTCCACTACTGCGTTTTAGGAGTATCTACGCAGCTGCGAAACCATTTTCGGCCTGAATATGTCAACGGATAAATGCCTCATTGTGCTGGATTTGCTTGGATCCACCGGGCCAAAAAACTAGTTGCATTTAAAAAATGTTCTGCAAGATGTCTTCGTGGTCAGCGCACACTCACATCATCTGGATGCCCAACAACCACACTTCTTGGAACTGTTTCATGAAAATCCGTTGCATCGAACATTCGCGACAAATCAGCTGCAATTTTGGGACATTTTCTGTATTTTGACGACAAATAAATTGAGAAGTAAGCGAATATTAGTTCGGCTTTCGAAAAAAACGTTCGCATACATCAAACTGGCGGTTGGGGGTGCTAACTGAGTGCACAGCCGGGGGTCGAAGGATCAGGCGTAGTTGCCTCCTGACGACGTCCGGACAGCATTGGTATCGCAAATCCCTGCACCGGTTTCCCGAATGGCTTTGGAATTCTTGGTATACGAAATTGGAAACTACTCTGGGTAATCCTAATTTCTTACTTTCTTCCATTTCCTTGATTCTATAGAGAAATCACATTACGTGCTTATCCAGAAAATA